AGCTGGAGAACGAGGTCGGGCCTGCTGACGCATAGAATTCACGCCTGCGTAGTGTGTGGTTGCGCGCATGGCTATTTTGTTGAATCCTTGTGTGGCGGGTGTGTGCGTGCGTGTGTGTGTGTGTGTGCATTTGTTCCAGAATGCAACGGCAAGTGAAAGAGAACCACCTATCTTGGGAGGTTCCTGTATATGAAGACAACTCTGCAAAAACCCTGGAAGTGCAGGTCCACAGTCTACAAGTTGAGCTGGCGCATAGCAAGACCAGCAACACGGAGAAGGCCGCGTTGACCAGCAACCTTGCCTGGACAATGCGTGCGCTGCGTGCCTGCTTGCCGCGCGTGGACAGGAGCAGGAGCTGCTCTCCGCCCAAGCCTGGATCAACTACTACAAGCGGTCCTGGGAGGAGGCCCTGTTGGGATTTGAATCTCTCGATGGTGATCAGAATCTGCTTGGCCGGAGGCGTGCGCGCGCTCCGAGCAGTCCCGCACAGCAAGGTCCGGCCAGCCCAAAACCCGAGTCGTGAGATCGGCCGAGCCCAAAACGGCTCGCTTCACGGGCTCCATGCGGTCCCAGGACGAAGAGCGCCAGGCGCGTTGGCCTTTCTGGCCGGTGCTGGGCCCAGGGAGAGACTGGAGAGGCGTGTTCAGATCAGCAGGGTTCAGATGCTGTGACTGAGGAATACCAAGGTCAGGGGAGGGTGAATATCAAGTTTCTGAGTTGAGAAATTTGCACACAGGGAGAGCGAGAGAGAGAGAGAAAGAGAGAGAGAGAGAGAGCGAGAAGGCTTGCCAAGAGGTCACATTCTTGCTCGCCGCCGCCGCCGCGTGCCGATGGGCTTCAGTGTAGTGTCGCAACTTCTGGCGAAGACTTCTTTAATACTAATACGTAAGCATTAGCGCACCTGTATGCAGGAGCCGTAAGTGCCATGCGCCGCCTGGCCAGCACGGATGATGCGTTTCCTGTTTGGTTTTTTTCTTCACAGACGGGACGGCCAAAGGTTTGACATGTGCCCGTTGGCAGCCCGGCCAGAAGTTTCCCAACTCCGTCCACCAAGGGTCCTGGTCGCTCTGGCTTTTCCTGGCGAGTGCATCAGAAGCGCCACGGCGAAGATAGAGGGATGTGCAAAGAAAGAGTTCGGCAAGTACCCCGAAAGCACAAAAGCGGCCGCGCCGTGCCCAACGCATTTGCGGTCATGTTATGCACTGCTGCTTGTGCTTCAATTTGTTTGGTGTCCCATGTTCAATGTCCCTTGCTGCAGGGCCAGGCACAAATAGCCTTGAAAGCAAGACTGTGACCCTCATTTCAGAATGACGTCAGCCAGAGAGGAAATTTGCAGCGCTTGTTTGAGCGAGTGGCTGTGCGTCTGCACTATGGTCGAAAGACAGCGCGGTTTTCTGAAGCAGAACCACGATCACACGAGAGATCTGCCCTTGCGGCGTGTACTGCGGGTGGGCCCCGCAGTTCTTTGCGCTCCTTATCGTTTCATTCTACGAACTGCTCACAGGGTTCTCAAATTCCCCAGCTAACAGCCAGTTTGATGTGACTGGCTCCCGTGGCCCAGGCCTCTGCTGCCCACGCCTTTTCCAACGGCTTCCTGGGACTTGAGGATCCTGCCAATGCCGCGGCTCGGCGGAGTTTTGGGAGTCCAGACCGGTGCTTGTGCTGTCCAGTCCGGTGAGATCGACCGGGTGGCATGTAGATTTGTTCAGGTGGCTGATGTTTTCCCCACCTGCGGTGCCCGAGAGCTCTTGGCCAGGACCCGTGGGGGCAGAAGCAAGAGGACTCCAACGCCTTGGAGGTGCCGGGGAGGTTTTCCCAGGTGGAGAAAATTAGTCGGGGGTCCCGGTATTTCTCGGTTTGAACACCTTTTTGGAGCCATTTCACTCCTTTTGCCCCGGCAATTAGGGGGATTCCGCTTGACAAGGTAGGAAGCCAATGGACCCAACGGACACTTTGCTGGGGGAGCACCCCGGTCGAGTCGGCGAGCATCGGACGTGCCGGCTACGTGGGGCCAGGTGCTTCATCGGATCTGGGGCAGCGCCCCGTGGCCGCCCCCGGGGCTGGAGCGCAGGCCGCCGGACGAGAAGACGCCCAGCCCTTTTGTAGGCACGGACCGTGCAAGGGGGAAGCGGCAACAGGAGCAAGACAAGTTTTAAAATGCCAAAAGGCTCAGGCTGTTCACGGCTTTGGCTTTTCGTTGCGGGTCGCTTTGAATGCGCAGGCCTCCGCTTCGGCGCCTCGGTGCTGGCGTTTGTGGTGTGCTTTGGCGCGGGCTTGGCCGTGGGACTGCGCGGGGGCCCCAGGGAGGGAAGTTCGGAAGTGGACTGGAAGCATCCGGCTGCCACCGAGCCTGGGAGCTCAAAGTCGGCCAGGGTGCTCAAAGCCGGACCGGACACGTGAGGCGCGGCCAGAGAAGGTCAAGGATCCAGGTTTTGGCTGCACATTGAGGCGCGCTGAAACCTGCCCCAACTGCGCGAGTTCACAGCTTGTGTCGGCAGGCGCTGACTTCGTCCATTTTGTGGCGCCACACTCACCAGCGAGCCCCGGCAGAAGGTTTTCTCAGGACTATCTCGCGAGACTGAACACGCATGACTGCAACTGATTGGAGCACTTTGGTTGAATGAGTCGGCCGTCTGCTTAGGTGCCGTGCTCATGCACCTGGTCCGGATAGCCATCCCGTTGCTCATTCTGACAGGCATCAGCAGGACAGCTGCTGCCGTCTTAGCAGCTGACCAGCTAGACGCCTGACTAGCTGGACAGCTGATCCTATCACTTGGACCTTAGCCCCTGTCCAGGATGCAGGCCTGGTTGGTGGAGCAGTTCGGTCATAAGGACACGCAAAAGATTCTTGAGATGCCTCCTGGCACACACTGGGCCAAACGGCAAGCGGACTCAATGGAGAAGGGCTTCCTTCTGAGAGCATTTGCAAGGGTATAAACGTCTTCGTGGATCCAAGAACCGGCTTGACTCCGAAGAATGTTGTGGATGGCATCGTGGAAGCTTGGCAGCACAAATTGCAATGTTTCCGTTTGCACGTTGAATGCCGCGATGCCAAACGTAAAAGGAATACTGCCTGTCCCTGGCGATGGTCTATGTGGAGCTGGGCTCAGCTTGACACTGTGACCTCGACGTCACATTTCTGTGTTTTGGTTGGGGGGATGGTTGGCACGATGCGTTGGTGTAAGGTCATGGTCTCGATGCTGTTCTTTGTTTGGCGCCTTGGCTTGCGCTCTTCAGGTTTGTGCGCCCCGTGCCGGGGCGTGTCAACGCTCGCAGCTTGTATTTTGACGGGCTTTGGGGTGCCTCGCAAATCCAGTCCTGATGAGTTTACCTGGAAATCTTCGAAGCAAGGTAGGACAGGTAGGAGCCAGCCAAGCTTGGGTCGAATGCCTGAGGCATGTGGCCGCAGAGAAGCAGGCCGGCTTTCGACACCTGCTCCATGTGAGCGGGCTGTCGCGGTCTGCGCACCCTGGCTTCGGACTGTCGGGGTGGGTGGTGAGATGGGCGAGCGCTGAGGGTGGTTCCTTTTCGAGTAAAGGAATGGGGGCCTGGGTGGGGGGTGGTCGGGAGAGTTCCGCGAGTTCCATGGTCGTTCAGAATCAAAGTTGCCTTTGTTGAGGCCTTGAGGCGCATGCAGTTGACAGGTTGTTGTTGGTAGGAGGTTGGAAGGGCGAGGTCAGCCTGGACGCCTACTGTAAGGGTTGAGTCCAATGCTCGATATCTTCCGCAGCTTCCTGCTCAAAGAAGGGGGTAACCAATACAAGCTACCAGCTCAACACGTATCCGTACATAGTTTGCCGTTTAACGACTGACGCCAGCCCGCGCAACATGTTGCCAACGAGCTTCTTGTACTCATGCATCACCGCCGGGTGCCAAGTTGCTTCAAGCATGAGAGACTGGTCATGGTGTGGAGGGCACAGGTTACGTTTGTGTTCCGTCCCATGCTGCGAGGCCGGAGTGGTGGCAACGGGGTTGGTCATCTACATAGACAAAACAAGTGTGCACATGCTGAAGGGACTAGTGGGATCCTGAGCTTCAACCAGTCTGTGCAAGGCCCTCATGAGAAAGGGGCCAGGGGTGAAAGACGTGAGGTCTCGTCGGGATCAAAGGACGGCCTCAGCCGATTGCAAAGGACCTACTTGGCGGTTGCTTGGTGGCAGTGCATCTGAACTTGAAACGCGGCTACATGTATCGGCGGCAGTGCGCCGAGGCTTACTTGTGTGCCATGATGGCGGACTGGCTGCAAGGGCCGTTTGTGTATGCACTCTACGCCTCCTATGGCCACTTGGGGCACAATGCAGCACAAGCAAATGTCAAGAAGTTGTTTGACAAAAACGCGTTGCATGCGGGGCGGCTGAGGTTTTAGCCGCGAGGACAATGCCACGCTCTTTGTGGCAGGATTCGGTAGCAGCGCCATTTTCGGCACCTTTGTGGGATCCATGGCAGACAAGCACGGCCGGCGAAGGTTCGCAGCTGCTCACTTCAAAGAGGGGACTGGGCTTCCATGTCGAGCACAGGGGAAGGGCGGTTTGAAGACAGAAGACCTGCCGAGGCTTTGTATTGCGTCCTCTACTGTCTGTCTGAAGCTCAATCCAACGTAATCCAAGTGCATGCAAGATCCAGTGCATTCTTGCCAATGTTTCCCTGCTAAGGTCCTGCCTCACCAAGCACTTCAAATCCTTTGAAATGCTCATGGTGGGGCGAATCACGGGAGGTATTGCGACCTCGCTTTTGTTCAGTGTGCTGCCTGTCTCAAACTGGATCGCGTGTCGTCGTTGGGTTGCACGTGGTCGCGCAGCACTTGCACAAAGCCTTTGCCGTGTGAGAGAGAGAGAGAGAGAGAGAACAGAGAGAGAGAGAGAGAGAGAGAGAGAGAGAGAGAGAGAGAGAGAGAGAGAGAGAGAGAGGGAGGGAGAGAGAGAGAGAGAGAGGGAGGGAGCGCGAGAGAGAGAGAGAGAGAGAAAGGGAGAGAGAGAGAGAGGGGTACAGCAAACAAGCAAGCCCTGCAAGTTTATGGCTCTGGATAGCTGAAAAAGCTTGACTCAAAGGTAAGCGTCGGGGGGCCGCAATCGCAGCACCATATTAATATATTGCTTTCCCTCGCCAGCAGCTCAGCAGAAGTTTCGCAGAGCGTGCCATGCTTGCGGCGGCTGGCTATGCAGAGAAGACCAGCCGAAAACAGTTTGCGGCGGCCTGCGCGGCTCAGTGAAGGATGTCTGTCCAGGGTATTTGTGGCAAGGAGCAGCCCAACGTAGTCAACTTTCTAAACTACTTCCAGGGGAAGGCGCATGACTGTGCCGAGCCAAGTGGGCCACGGCGGCAGCTCGGCGGCTGGGACATGCGGCGGCTCTTGGAGACGCGGTTGCGTGGCGACAGTCCCGACCCTCCCGACCCTCCCGACCCGCCCCACCCTCTCGACTCTTCTGACCCTGCTGGCTACCCTGAAGTCTGGGAGGCTGAGATGGTGCCTTCCATGCTGTTGGGGCCGAAGGTCAGTCCCCAGCCGGGCCCCGCGCTCCGGGCTGAGAAGCCCAAGTCGCGGCCGTGTGCCGGCAAGCTGCGTGCGGCGCACGGCGCCCTGCTGCAGGCGGTGAGTGAGGGCAACGACTTCAAGGTGCAGGAGGTTCTGCAGACCGTGGAGGCCAGGTTTGAGTCACTCATGGAAAAATTGAAAAAGAACTCAATCCCAGGAGTTTGAGTAAATCAATGACCCCTGGCTTGAAATCTTGCTTAGCCAATTGCGCAGGCAGAATTCCTCCTGGAGCGCACGGATGGGGAAGGCCACACCGTGCTGCACCTCGCCGCCATGCGTCCCCCGCGGGAGGCCCCTGGCGCAGTTTGGGTCTTATCGTACCTGCAGCACTGCCGGGCAGACCTCGAGGCGCGCAACTTGCTAGGGGAGACGCCGCTGGTGATGGCGGTCCGCGCAGCTCTGGCGCATGCCCCGAAGGGCAAGGGCAGAAGTGTGGAGGAGGACTGGGCTCCTGGCGTTTGTGGAGGGTTGACTCCAGCTTTTTTTTTTGGGGGGGCCTCCCCACTTATGAGCTCACTCTGCCGTGAACACTTCGCCTGTTTGGCAGGGGGTCAACCAACCTGGCTCTTGGATCATGTTGAAATCATGGCCCCTGTAGGAGGTCCGCCAGGAGTGGTTGAGTGTGGTGTCCTGCCTCCTGGAGGGCAGGGCCGATCCCAACGCCGCCGATGACCTCAACGAGGAGACCCCTTTGATGGAGGCTGCGTGCCAAGGCAGCCATGTTATGTGCCACCTCTTGCTGAGCTTCAGGGCAGATGTGTCCTGCACCACTGGCACTGGCGCCACCGCCATCGACTTTGCTTCCAGCGAGGGCCATGGGCCTTTGGTGAAGCACTTGACGCATGTCCTGTCGGACTGCCAGCGGTCACAGGCCAGGGAGGCTGGGGCCAAGACTCTGAAGCCGTCGGAGCTGCCGTTCGCCACGTCGCTGGGCTTCACGACCTGGTCAGCGGGAAGGTCCTGGCAGCCGCCGTGCCCCCCCAAGCCAAGCGAAGCGGACAGCTCTGCGTCTGGCACGGGCACGCAGAGCGAGGCTCCAAGCTTTTCGCCCGGCATCTTTGGTCCAGGGGCCGAGGTTTTGAGGGGCATCAACTTCCACACCTACGCGGATAAGACATTTGCGGACAGCCGCCTTCCGTTCTCCTCAGGCTCACGGTCTGGCGCCCGGCCGGAATCGGAGCCCAAGGCGCCTTGGGCAGAGCACTTGAGGACCTTGGGCCTGCCCGGGCACGCCACAGCGGATGAAGTGCGGGCCGCCTATCGCAGGTTGGCCTTGCAGTACCACCCGGACAAGAACCAAGGCAGCGAGGAGGCCGCCGCAAAGTTCCGCGAAGTGAAGCGAGCTTACGAGCTTTTGTCTGCCAGCTTCTGAGCGCGACCCTTGGACAGCTGGCCACTGTACATAGCAAAAGCTGCAAGCCTTTGTGAGACGGCCATTCATCAAACCGCAAAAGCCCTTGTGTGGCCAAGATCCGGCAAATGTGGGTGTCCTTGAAGGTGACATTCACAAGAGAAACCTTCTGCCTTAATTGACTCTTGTTGTTTGTTGTTTGTTGATTGACATTTCCCAAACCTACTCAGACTGGCCTCGTGTGGCAGGGCTGTCCGCCCAGCCTGTCTAAGGTTCGACTCCTGGCTGGTCTCGGAGCACACGGCTCGTGGCTTCCACGGCGAGCAGTTCCTTGGAACGCCATGAGTCCAAAGCACCTGGCTGCACGCAGATTGTTAGGAAACGCACGCGTGCCAACAATGCCAAATGAAGCAAGGCCACGAAGATGAATTGGCAGTGACTCATGCCAGCATGAGCCTGCCGAGTGGCAGTGGGCTCTGCTCCATGTTGGCCTGAGAATGCTGTTGGCTTGGCCGCAGTCCTGCGAGCTTGGCATGGGCCGTTGCAGTTGTCCAGTAGTTGGCTGGCCTGCTGCATTTTTGTGTTAGGCTCTAGTTGCCCAGCCGCGGCTTTCACTTCATGGTTTGGTTCCATGCCTGTTATGCCAATCCGTTCCAAGCTGGAGAGTCATTGGACGTCGCCCCCCTCTGGCCTCCTGACCTTCTGGGCCTTCGGGCAGCTTTGCCAATACACCTCAACACCCAAACCCCAAGCGCAGCACACACACACACTCAAAGGCAACAAACACTGATGCAAATGGGCAAGAATGCTGGCCGCTAGGCTGAGCGGGTCCTTTTCCATTGCCTTCTTTGGGAACAGCCTGGTGGCGATCCTGGCTGGGGAGATTGGGCAGTACACCGCGGACAAGCTGCCGCTGACGCAGCTCTCGGGCAGTGGCCCGGCGGAAAACACATTCAAGCCGCGGGCGGTGAAGCGGCAAGCGGTGCAGCGTTGAGCGGTCGGCTAAAGAAGCAAATTGCTTGTGATCATGTTAGCAGCATGGATTTTGATGTGGTCTACGGGGCGAAGCAGAACACTCCATGACCACCTGGGCATGTGGTGACCGTGCCGGCCGATGTCTTTTCCGGAGGCGTCCACTACGGGGGCTACACCGCGCCCTTCGTGACGGCCAACCTCTTCCTGGCACGGTCCCCGGGTCCCAAGTCTCAGGGCGGTTTACAGGTCGCATGTGGCTGTGAACGTAAAGGAATGCCGGGTGGACACTTGATCCAACATGTAAATGATGTCCATTAAAAGGTCCCTACCAGAGGGTTCCTTCATGTTCTTTCCACAGGGGTTCCCGGATGAGACTCACGCGCATGTTGGTTTGGTCTTAACATGCCAGCTTCCAGGTCCTATGCCTCTTTCTGCTGATGGGCACGTGGTCCGAGAACTATGGCCAGGTCGGAAAGGCCGGGGAAAGCACCAAACAGCGGAATGATTTGACGTGAAGGGAATGAGTCCAGGATGTTGACCAGAAAACTGACGGCCTCATGGGAGCATTCAACTTGCGGCGAGGCTGCAAGGAAGGCCCCAGGGGCCGTGTCAACAGCTTTTGGTCGACCAAGGATCATGGGCCAACCTTTGATCGCACTTTGTGGACTTGTTTGCGGCTGGGCTTGAGATACATGTTCTGGGAGGTTTCAGGCTGTGACAGCCCTGCCCCGCAGAACCACAGAGAGCTTTGTGCTGGTAGCATCAGCCAAGGTTGCCTTTTCGAATCATCTATGTTCATTTTTGTCTTCAATTGGACGCCTGTGCTTATGGAGGACCAGGGTTGCACGAAGCACAGTGGCGGTTTCAGGAAACCGGGTGAGCTTATGACTAATGACTTTGTGACATGGTTCGGACACTTCATGTTACAAGCAGGGGTCTGGGAGCTTGTTGTGGTGTGTGGTCAGTTCTGTCGGGACCCGACCACTCTAGACCGAGTCGTTCGCATGCCTGCATTGCCAGCCCTTGAGTCCTCGAGTGACGGCCAGGAGGGGGAGCCGGACCCACCCTTCGGCCACATCTTTTCTGGATTCATGATCATGTGCATGTTAGGCCCGGCTCCCTGAAGCATTTCGCTTGCGCCTCCCCCAAGTGCCAGGCAGCCGATTGTTCTCCATGGCCAGCCACAGCTTCACCAACGAGAGGATAGGCCGGGCCAGGTTAATTCGCTTGGATGTGAGAAACAGGCCCAAGAGGAGCCTGCAACACGCTATCCTTGGCCTTGCGCAAGTTGCAGGGGAGCTGACTGTGAGGCATGTACGTGCTCTTTGTGGCCGCAGCGTGCCACGCCAGTGTTCTCCTCACAGAGTCTGTTCCTGTGCGCTTGCTTCTTGGACAGAGACTGCCTTGTCTCAGTGAGGCTTTAGCTCAATTAAGTTGTCCCCCCTATATGCAGCTGTAGACTTTGATGCTAACTATGCTTGACTTAGGCTGGCATTCTTTCTCTTTGAGATGTGTGTTGGCATGTACTTCCCGATGATGGGCACCATGAAGGGCCAGATCGTCCCTGAGCGCCCTTGCTCGCAGCTATGTCGCGTGGGTGGGCGTGCTGGGCATCCATGTAGCACGCTTCGGGAAGGACACGCGACTTTTACGCAAGAACTAGATGGTATCCCTAGCTCATATTGCTTTGGGGACTCGTGCCCCAAGCATTCTTGCCTTGGGATCCTTCTAAATGGTTTCCCGAACCTGTTTGGAGTATGTTTATTGTTTGTTTGCCTTCGGCTCCCTCCGCTCGCTGTGTATGTTACACGTTGTTGTTTGAGTGGGTTCCTTACTTGTTCGGCTTGGCAGGGGTGGCCTTGGCCCGTCCGCTCGCTCGCTCGCTCGCTCTCTCTCTCTCTCTCTCTCTCTCTCTCTCTCTGTCTCTCTCTGTCTCTCTCTCTGCTTTTCGAGCACAAGGCGTGTTTGGCCTCGCAAGGTCCAAGCGGGCCACCATCTACAACATCTACCGGGTGCCACTGAACGCCATCGTGGTGGCCACGCTGATGCTGAAGCTGGGCGCGGGGGTCTCGTTCTTCGCCCCTTGACCGCGAGCCGAGTCGGGGATTCGGGGGCTGAGAAGCGGGAAGTCGGCGGCCAAAATTTGATGGGAGGAGCTTGAGAGGGGCCGCAGCAAAGACTTGGCCAGAATACTGCTACAAATCAGAGAGATCAGGTCTCGGCTGTGCAGGCAGGCTTGGCGATTTCGCAGGTAGAGGGAGGTTTTCGTTCGCAACCCCTACCTTCTTAAGATCATTCTTTCACCTTCTTGGAATCGTTCTCGTTGCACTCTCAGCCCAGCACCGGGAAGGTTCCCAGCGCTGGTCTTTCCCAGCGCCGGTCGCGCGCACGTCACGTCTTTTGCAGGTCGCCACGTCCCAGTGCCACGGTGGGGGGGAGAGTGGTGGACTTCAAAAAAGACCATGTCAAGTGATCAGGTAGGTTCAACCCAGCATGTGAAGAATCACTAGAATGGCACGCTGAGATCACGAGCTTGATGCTGGTGGTTGCAGCTGGGGCCCAGGCGCGGAGAGATGGGCTTGACAGGCTTTTGTTTCTTGGTGCAAATTGTTCTTTGTTTCAAAACTTGTTACCATGCCATTCACTGGCCATGGAAGTGTCAGCCTTCCTGCTGTGAATCCCTCAGAATCCGCTCAAATAACAAGGCCATCCCAAATGAAGCCATTCGGACGGAAGTTCTGGCGCCGTTTGCCAGGCGCGCATCATTGGGATGGGAGGAGCTCGCCCGGCGACGCAGCCGGCACCGATGGAGGAGGAGGAGGAGGAGGAGGAGGAGGAGCAGCTGCTGATGAAAGTTGGAAAGCCCGCAGGGGAAGAGGCGCCTTGAGTAGTTGAGCTCCCGGGTTGAGCAAATGGTGAACGCAAGCCATTTAAGGGAGGACGTTTGAACAGCGAATTGAGCGTGAGCGGATGCTGGGCCCAACCCCTGATGACAGAGTTGCCACCTTAGCCTCCCGAATTCGTCGGCTTGGCGGGCAATTCGCCTGGCGAGCCTGCCCTAGCTGACCTGCCCGGATTGACCTCTTGGGAGGGTTGACGAAGAGTTGACCCATTTTGCCCACTCCTTTCGTATCCCCACTCAAAACAACACAACACAAAATGACATTTGGGTCACAAAGGGTCCCTATGTTGACACTCTCCCAAGTGCTGCATGTGTGGAAAACGTGCGCCTACGCCCGCAGAAAATGGGCGCGACATTGCGGCCTCCCATAAGACCGGTTTGTGTTTCTTTTCTTTCTTGGCGGGCAGAGGGTGGGGGTTGGGGGTTTGAGGCTTCAAGGACTGTTGGCTTTCTTTCGGATTCTGCTTTGCCTCGCCAAGGTACATGTTGGCAACGGCAGGGGTGGACGGAGTGCTACAGGCGGGCCCCCGCTTTGGGGCGAAGATCCCCCCCCCTGAACTGGATGGCTACCCTTTGAGGCCGGCCTCGGCATGCTGCTCATGCTCTTCATCGCTGGGACTGTGCTGGAGGCACTTTGGCAAGTCGTAGGGTGGGGCAGAACCTGCAGGTTCGGTGCGAGGCATGGAGGAATTGGATCTGTTGATTTGACCTGCGCTTTTTGGCTCATGTGGCTGAGGTGCGCCTTGTGCTGTGGAGCTCCCCCGTTTTGCTCTTTGCCACCTGGCCGCATTGCAGCATAGCTTTGTCGCACAACTGGGGAACCCCGTGCAATTCGGGAAGCACAATGAACCATCATGAACCCAACCACTTCGAACGGCGCCTGTTGCATCTTCAGGTGACGTTGTCCATGCTGGCGATGGCTGGCTCCATGCGTGAACCTCAGAGAAAGCCAGAGGAGACAAGGCCAGTCCAATTTTGAAGTCTGGGAGACCCTGCGCTCACTCAGGCACACGTGTTGGGGGGGGGGTGCTTGGTGTCTGTTTCAGCTTGACGATTTGAACGTTTCCAAGGCGGACCCTAAAACCCAGCAGGTTGCCTAATTACTAGTGTTTTTTAAACCCTTTCCAGCTAGCGAGGCCCCAACTTGTTGGACACTCCCCTCCCCCCCCCCCCCCCTCCCCTTGGCCCCTCCCCCCTCCCCCCGAGCCTTTTGCCGAGGATGGGGTATTTGATCTGCCTGCTGTGCCCCAGCGCACGCTTCGCCAGCAGCGTGGCCCAGTTCACCCTGGCCTGGGCCATCTTCGCGGCGCCCACGGCGCCGGTTGGCCCGGCCGCTTCGTCTTTCCGGTGGGGTTGGGTTGGGTTGGGGTTGGGTTGGACTTGGTAGTTGGTCGGTTAGTTAGGTTGGTGACATGGGTTGGTGGTTGGATAGTTTCTTCCCCCCTGGTTTTTTGCCCAGACAGGCTCCGTAGTGGTTCAGAGCGGCTCCATGCTAGAGGTCTGGAAGGGCTCTGGGTTGCATGATCTTTTTGGCCGCGTCTTCCGCCAAACAACACACGACTTTGTTTCTTGGTTTTGTTCCCTGTGGTCAGTGCTGCCAGCGCCACTGAGGTAGTGCCGGCAGCCCCTTGGGCAGGAAGTTGGGTCAGTTGCTGTGTGCGCTATGGGGAGCTAAGGCCGGGAAGCAGTATTGGACTGAGCTGGCGCTTCCTGCTGCTTGGCTTATCACCTCAAGCATC